CTCCTCAGCCAAAGGGTTGTTTTGTTTTCTTTTTGGGGGTGTGGGTTGTGTTTTTAGTTTAAATGAAATCTGCCGGAGAAGACAAAGACGGGAAGGGAGCCCCCTTTCTGTGACAAGCGCGCTGCGCTCGTTGCCTGGGTCCGCTTGGCGCTGCCCGCGGCCCCGCGAGCGGGTGGCTTTTGCGGGAGCTTCGGAACCGTTTGCTGCGGTCCATGTCGCCCGGCCCCCGTCCCGGTGAGACCGGGCCGCGTAGCCAGCCACCGACCGGCAGCTCCAGAGAAAACCATTAACAATGCAGCTTCCCGTGGAGAAGACAGTCACGCCCGTGTCTACTTACGTTTTACTGTTGAGTTTTAGAATTGTGGCATTCTTGCTATTGTAAGGCTTTTTTTTTAAAAAAAAAAAGGGGGGGGGGGACACCACTGCCCGAGGTGTTGTAAATGTCATGATTGGTATTTATGCTCTGACCCTTCCTTCACTATAGGTTTGTTCAGTTCCCCAATATCTCAGCAGGCGTCTTCGTGTGATACTTCCATTGGATTTTCTGTTGTAATAATAAGAAAAGTAGTTGCCAGGAGTGCAAAAAAGAAGTGACAGCTTGGATATTTCCTGTGTGCCCACTTTTGCATCATTGTGGCTAAATACTTTTAGCCGATTCTTTTAAGCTGCTAATGAGCTGTAATTGTAGCCCTGGAATGAATACAAATACGTACATTCCTAGCTAACGTATGGACTGAACTTCAAAAATGGTCAGAGTGGATTATCAGGTATATAGAGGATCAGGAAATAGGTATTTTTGTGGGTGGGTGGAGTCAGAAACGGAGGCTCTGTTTTTTAAGGAATGCTTTGGCAGTTGAAGACTTCTGAGTGTGTATTTCTGTGAAACATTGTAGAAGTGAAAACAACGTTTAATTTCAGCCTTAATTTTGTCTAACATGTATAGTTTTGTTTTCTTGTTGAAGCTTAAATTTGTAATTTAGTATGAGGGCTGCGGGTTTAAATTTATTGATTTACATTTCCTTAATTTGGGGGCAAAAATGTTAAGTAAAGTGTGTGTGTGTGTGTGTGTTTGGGGGGGAGAACCCCACTGCTTTGAAGAAAGTAAAAACGGAACATATCTTTACCCTCCAAATGTCTGTTGCTATCAAGTATGACAGAGTTCTTGATTGCATTATCATTGCCTGAAGAAATAGGGCTATTTTTTATGATTACTTAATAAAAACAAACTTGGTACCATATAGATGATATTCATTACCTGATAATTTTCTTTGCCCAACTGAATGTGTTCTGTATAATAGTTTAAAATAAATATTTTTTAATGTTTGGAGGAGCAGTATTTAAAAATTTGATATAACAGTAGGAGTCTGTGTTTTAATAACTTTTCTCCTTTAAGCCTAAATAATAATCTTCCTGTAGTATAACTAAGATTTGGTATTGAATGTGTGCAAACAGTGCTGGATTCATAAGATGGAGGTTCTAACCCTGGTTCTTTCACTGTCTAGCCTTCTCTTTCTGTGGACAGATCACCTGCCTTAGAATCTGTTTAATTGTGTGTAAAGTGGAGTACCTATCTCAAGATTTTTCTGAGAGGTAAATGAAATAATGCATGTAAAATATTTTTGAATTATAAAGGGCTTTGTAAACACCAGTTATAATGGTTTTATTTCCTTTATTGGCTATGTTCTATAGAAAGTACTTTCTTAGACTATACTTGCATCATATATGAAAAAGACTTTAATGTAACTCGTGTAAAAATCTCATATACACCATATGACATTTTCACTTGACTGTGACATAATTTATACACAGAAATGAAACAGATATGCCTTTTCAGCCATGAAGGACACTAAATGTTGAAATTTGCAAACTGTTTTGTTCTCATATCTTTATGTATCTCTTGTATATATTTTTAAGGTTATTTTTTCTCCTAAATCCAGACTTTGTGGGAATTATGATATTAAAAGGTATTTATATAAACACATGTTTTTTCAAACTATAACTGGAATGATGTCATCATTTTGTTAATTTCTGAAGCAACATGATAGCATCTTAGTAGACTAAGGATTATGTCATATTAAGAATTTATGATTTTAACAAAAGATATTTAATTTTATTTTATAAAATAATACCCTTTTCTGGAGAAAAGGGTTACAAACTTGAAAGATGTTAAAATAGCATATATTGAAAAATTTAAAAATCAGTTTCACCTTTAAGTTCTAGGAGGCATCCCTATATAATTATTCTAAAATGACATCTATTGTTGGTTAAGTTATATGAGAAAAATACACTTTTCTATAGTTCATTAGTCATTTTCATTAATTTGTGCATTTTATGTCTTAAAGGAAGAGCATACTGCTGGTGAAATTATTGTAAATGAATGGAAGGATTTATATGTAAACTATAAATACTTAAGTACTATAACCCACTATTTGAATAATATTTACAGAGAGATAGATTCTGAAATCATATTTGGTTACACATGGCAATAGTTTTCATGATAGTGTATCTTGATAGTCTTTCATATAACATTGAATTTATATCACTAAGTTAAATTGCCTAAATAAAAGATAACTGATTTCATTAAAACCTTCCAGCATTAGTAATTTTTAAGCCATTTTGAAATTAAGGTCTAACATAGTGAGATGCTAATGTCATTGTACTCATTCCTTTTTAAAATAGGTAAGATTCTTTTTTCTAAAGTGTGTTTTTCAGATTATAAAAAGAATACCATTCTCCCAATCTCCAAGTTGTATAACAGTAATTATAGATCCCTAGGTGATGAAATGGGAGATATATCTGCCTTTAGATATGTTGTAGACTGAGAAATAACACAGACGTGTGATATTATTGATTGACCAAAATACTGTTGTTTGCATTTTGTAGTAGTGCTCATAATTCATTGGTAGCATACTACCCAGTATTCATTTATATCAGATTAACTACAAGACCTGTTCCTAAAATATTAGAAGTGTGTGTGTGTGTGTGTGTGTGTGTGTTTGTGTACTCCTTTAACTTGAAGTAAACATGGATAGCAATATCTTTTAATGCCAAGTAATTTGGCACACCCAGAAATATGGACTTTTTTTTGGACACAGATACAATGTGTCAAGAAGATCGAAACCAATTATTATTTAGGGTAAACTATATTTAAAAGTAAACAAAACACATGGAATATGTGGTTATTATTATTTTTTTACAGTGTTAATTAAATTGAATTTACCTTGATTATATCAGTTTGGAAGATATTAAAACACTTTTTTTTCTTTTTAAAGAAATAGATCCCAAAGGAAGACTTCCATTTGGTAATTTAATCAGTGCAAGTGAAATTAAGGAATAATGGATGTAGAAAATGAGCAGATACTGAATGTAAATTCTACAGGTAAGTATTCATATTCTGAACCTTGATTGTATTATGAGCAAGTTTCAGGCCATACCAAATTTTATGAATACATAATATTAAAACCGTCTTTACTTTAAAAACCATATTATTCATGCTATAAGAAAATAGGTCATGTTATTTTTTAAATTAAGTTTGTGATTCTTATTTTCATAGAAATTTATCACGTCCTTATTTTTCTGTCTGTCTTTCCCATTCCATACTCTTATTCTATGCTATCCTCCTATATAATAAAACCCTAATATGCAAATCGATTGAACGGTGGAATGACCAGTCCCTATGACATGCACTGACCACCAAGGGGCAGACATTCAATGCAGGAACTGCTCCCTGGTGGTCAGTGTGCTCCCACAGGGGGAGCAATGCTCAGCCAGAAGGCAGGCTTACAGTTGGCGAGCACAGCAGTGGTGGCGGGAGCCTCAAGAGGGTGCAGGTTGGGCTGAGGGACCCCCC